AGTAGATCCAAAGAGAGACACTAACTCAATTTAATGGCTTAATGAATGAATGAATAAATTTTAATTAACACTCACTTTTTACGAGTAGATCGTGTGTTGAATTGACGACTCGCGCAGCTCAGGTACTACGTTGCGCAAATGTGCAGACTCGTAGCTCTTTTCTATTGTAGCTTCTTAGCTATGAGAATAGAATGTCTTCTTCTTCTTCTTCTCTATGGTATGGTTTTAATCGTTAGCTTTGGTTCGCAGTCCACGAAGACATATGACCGTCATTGCTTAAATAGTTGAAAAGATTCGAATATTCAAGAATCTTTGATATCTTCTTATCTTCTTCTTTAGAGATGAATGAAAACATATTTACGGTAGACAAGAACTGGCAAAGCGAAGGCTGGGAGACTTTTTCTTGATTTGCATATATCGCGTTCTTATCTGGTGTGCCGTGCAGTACTGATGCTTCAATGGAGAAATATTTGAGGAGATGAAAGGCATTTTTCTTGGCACCACCACCCTTTGTGAAAAGAATTTTGAATTTAGTGGTAGTAGATCCAAAGAGAGACACTAACTCAATTTAATGGCTTAATGAATGCATAAATAAATTTTAATGAACACTCACTTTTTACGAGTAGATCGTGTGTTGAATTGACGACTCGCGCAGCTCAGGTACTACGTTGCGCAAATGTGCAGACTCGTAGCTCTTTTCTATTGTAGCTTCTTAGCTATGAGAATAGAATGTCTTCTTCTTCTTCTTCTTCTTCTCTATGGTATGGTTTTAATCGTTAGCTTTGGTTCGCAGTCCACGAAGACATATGACCTTCATTGCTTAAATAGTTGAAAAGATTCGAATATCCAAGAATCTTTGATATCTCCTTAACTAGGAGAGATGAATCAAAACGTATTTACGGCAGACAAGAACTGGCAAAGCGAAGGTTGGGAGACTTTTTCTTGATTTGCATATATCGCGTTCTTATCTGGTGTCCCGTGCAGTACTGATGCTTCAATGGAGAAATATTTGAGGAGATGAAAGACATTTTTCTTGGCACCACCACCCTGTGTGAAAAGAATTTTGAATTTAGTGGTAGTAGATCCAAAGAGAGACACTAACTCAATTTAATGGCTTAA